ACTGTCTTCTTTAATCTTATTAGTCGGAATGATTGGTGCTATTATTTTAAGTTTAGACCATCACAGAAATATAAGAAGACAAGATATTCACTCTCAAATAGCAACTGGAAGTTCAACTGCTTTCTTCGGACCCCTCACTCTCACCAGGGGCACACAGAAAGATAGTCACCTCTAACATTATAATTTATGTACACCCAACTAAATACAGCTAGTCATCCATACATAACGATATTAATTTTTATAATATTTGCATTTGTGCTATCTTTTATTATTATTTTTGCCTCTTACTTACTTGCGGTACAACAACCCGATGCCGAAAAAATATCTGCCTATGAGTGTGGTTTCCAACCGCAAGGCGATGCTCGGGATAAGTTCGAAATTAGATTCTTTCTAGTTGGGATATTATTTATTATATTCGACTTAGAAATTTCATTAATTATGCCAAGTGCATTAGTATTAGGACAACTTCCACTATATGGGTGGACCACTGTACTGATTTTTTTAATCATTTTGACCATAGGATTAGTATACGAATGGTGTTCTGGCGCCCTTGAGTGGCAGTAAAAAATAAATAAACCCCGAAGGGACAGGATAGGACGGGACACCTCTCCTCCCCGGGTTCCGGGGAGGGACTCTACCCCTCCAGAGGGAGGGCATAGTAGATCCGAAGGGATGGATGTTACATCCCTGCTTTCGGATGGTACGAGGGTGGTGGGGGGTGTACTACAGAGGTGGTGTGTGCTTGCCTGCCTGGAATATTCACCCCTGTCGAAGGGTGGTTCGAATCCTTCTTAGCTTATTATTTAAAGATGGTGCTATCTGCTCCCTGTGGCATACTACTGTTACCACTCCATCACGTGTATTTGATATAGAGGTATACGCTATCCTGCCCATTAATCTAGTTGGCTAGATAAGGTGATAGTTAGTTATAAGGTGTACCGGAGGTGTAGGAGGGTCCCGAGACCCTCCACCATCTCCTAGTGGGCACATGGGTCAGTAGATTTTATATAGGGTCCCTCCCCGTGATACGGGGAGGAGAGGTGTCCCGTCCTATCCCCTCCCCTTGGGGTCCCCCACTCTTGAGTGGGGATCCGAAAGGATGTAAG